CACACACACACACATACAAACAACCTATTAGTTCTGTTTCTCTGGGGAACCCTAATAACAGGTACAAACTATTTACAGAAAGTTAATCTCAAGGCTCAAGGAGAGACCTGAGCAACTAGTGCCTCAACAGGAACCATCTTTATGTCTTAGGGTAGTGAGCATGATGGGTTCCTTTACTTCACCATTATGCAGCCAAAGGAGATAGGCAGCTGTGGGTCTGCTCGGGTGTTGGGATACTCAGCTTCGTGTTCAAGGGACTTGTCTCTGGGATTTATCAATCAGCCCTACCTCCTATATTTCTCATAACTAAACCAATCCCAGGGAAGTTCCTGCCACAAGCCCACGCACCCCATTCCTTATTTTGGCTCTGCAATTCAGGGTGTGTTCTGCACCTTGGTATGTACACTCTCAGCTGTCTCTGAGCTCAGGCATCGCCTGCATCCTTGCTTCTCTACCTGCCCCTACTGCTTGATCTTCATTACTTTTGGCAGTCCTTCCAGATATTTTGTGGGTTGGGATTCAAATGTCTTTTAGTTTTATCAGAGGTGGAGTTTGTGTTTCTGTTATTATTTTCTCATGTTGCTTTTGGAAGACTTCCAAGGGGAGAAGGAAAAATGCTTAATTTACTTCATCATTTAAAAATCTTGTAAGATTTTTGAATGTTTGCAAATCTGATGTGTATGAAGTAGTATCTTACTGTGAATTTAATTTGCATTTCCCTGAATACTAGTGAAGTTGCACGTATTTTTTGTATGTTTGTTGCCTATTCTCGTTTGCTCTTCTGTGATGTGACTGTTTATATACTCTGCCCATTTTCTCTATTCAGTTCTTTTTTTGTTTCTGACTGATTTGTTAATGTATAAAGATATTTTTTGATTCCAATACTTTTTTGACTAAATGTATTGCAAATATCTTCCCTCAGTCTGTAACTTATTTTTGCAACTTTGGAAGGTGTCGTTTATTAAAAAGAAGTTTTGTATTTTAATTACATTTTAATGTAATTGAGTATATGATTGTTTTCCTTTGTGGTCTGTGGTTTTTGTTTCTTGCTTAAGAAATCCCTTTTTATTCTGATGTTGTAAATATCAAACTCTTTACTTTTAAATATAAGACCTAAATTATGTTTTTGCCAGCACCATTTAATGAATAGTTCTGTCCCCTCTGATCTACACTGCCAATTTTCTCATCTAACAATTTTCCAAATATGTGTGGATCTGTTTCTTGGCTCCATAATCTGTTGTATTTGTCCAGTTGTCTACTCCTGCACCAAGACTCAGCTATAATTAATTTATAGTAAAGCAAATCCCCTTCCTGTTCTTCTTTAGAATTGTCTTGGCTATTATTGTTTTTTGACCTTCTATATATATATTTTAGATTCAGCTTGTCAAATTTCATTGAAAACCCTTCTGGGGTTTCATCTGGAATGTCATTAAACATATAGGTTATTTTTGGAAAGAATTGACATCTTTAGATATGGAGTCTTTCTATCTAGGAACGTCTTTCCTGTTTTTTGGGGGTTTTTTCTTGGTGCCTTTCAAATGCACTTTTAAAATTGTGTCTATTCCTTGAATTCTTGGTAAGACTTGTCATCAAACAATCTGGGTCTTGAGTTTTATGTTTGTTATTGTTAGATTTTTAATTATTAATTCATTTTTTTTAAAATCCCAGATGACAAGAATGAAGCACAAGGTACTGGGTTAGAGCTAGAGACTCTATGAGTATGAACTTATGTTTAACTTAATATAGATACTGATAGATACATGTAGAAATAATTATGGATATGTGTACATACATGGATTAATATATATTAATATATAATATATATTATACACACACAGGTTTATATATACATATGTAATTTTTTTTTTTTTTTTTTGGTACACGGCCCTCTCGCTGTTGTGGCCTCTCCCGTTGTGGAGCACAGGCTCCGGACGCACAGGCTCAGCGGCCATGGCTCACGGGTCCAGCCGCTCCGCAGCATGTGGGATCCTCCCATACCGGGGCACAAACCCGTGTCCCCTGCATCAGCAGGCAGACTCTCAACTACTGTGCCATCAGGGAAGCCCCTGTAATATTTTTAATATATATTACATATACATATAAATTTGAGCAACAAAATAACTAACATAGTATTTATAACCCAAAGCATAAATAAATATCCATAAGTTCACACAGGTGTAAATAAATGATTGAATTAAATAAGTCAGTGAGGGAGAGAGGCAAATCAATCTTCAATGCAGAAGAATTCCAAATGATTTATATAGATACTCCCCTCTAAAGGAGATGGAATATAACTCCCACTTCTTAAGTGTGGGCTATGCTTAGTGACTTAGTTCCAAAAAGGACAGTATGAAAAGTGGGAATAAAGTAAAGTACAATAGAGAAGATAGACAAACATTATCTCAGCAAGGTGATCAAGGTCAACAGCAACAATGATGAGGCACCTTGATAGTATTAACCCTTCATGTGATGGGAGGAAAATTTTGTAAAATCATCTTCTTAGATCAAATAGAAAGAAATCTTCCCCCAGCCTGGATGAATGAAATTTGGTTTTTTAAATTATTGATAGTTAGTAATAGTTAATTATTTGTAGTCTCCTTCTGCTTCGCAGCTCTTCATTGACAATGCCATGTAAAACTTTAGGATTGTTAGCAAATTTGAGAAAAGCTCTGATTTAGTTACTATGGCTATGTAACACACCACCCCAAACTCAATGACATAACACAGTAACCACTTTATTAGACTCATAGTTTCCGTGGGTCAAAAATTCAGAAAGGGCACAGGCTGGGGGTGACTCAGTAGCTGGGCTGGAATCACCTGAAGGCTTATGCATCCCCACGCCCTGGACTCTTGACCTCTCCACATGGCCTGGCTTCCTCACAGCACGGAACCTCAGGGACTCAGACATCTGTCATGGTGGCTCTCAGTGGGAGTTTTCCAGCCGTCAGGGAGAAGCTACATCACCTTTTGTTACCTAACCTCAGAGTCAAGCAGCGTCAAGTTCCTCACATCCTATTAGTTAGCGGCTCCAGCCCAAAAGGTCCAAGAGAAAGAGAATCTGTGTCCACCTCTTGATGAGGGAGGGGTAAGAGCAGGAGGACAGGAGACATTGTTGCAACCATCTTTAGAAAAATAAAATCTGCTACCACCTCTAACCAGCTTCTCTCCTCTCTGAGCTATCTAGATATGCTACCTGCTTGTAGTACAGGAATATGGTAACTTCTATTTCTTGAAATTCCCATCAAATAAAGGAATAAAAGCATTTAAGGTATGATTGAAAACATCTCTTTCAGGAGACTTCTGTTTTGATCATATTTCAACAAGATTGTATTTTCCACTTAGGATTTCATGTGTCTGTTTGGACGAATTTTCCACAGGCTAGTTTTGGTCTGTATGTTTCAGACCTTGTTTATCTTCCTCTACCTTATTCTTCTTGTACTGCAGCACAGCCTCTGCCTACACCTCTGTGTCACAATGTCAGATGAGTTGGCACAGTGCATGGTAGGAGTATTTTGGAAACTATTTCTAAACCAGAATGGCTGGCAGTAACTTCACTATACATGAAACCAACTGAAAACCACATAACTATGTCCCACTGCGCCGAAATTGACGTACGTGTCTCTAACCCAGCTTCTCCTTGGATCCTGAAAGTACCACAGTTGCATCAACGCTAACAGATGAGATAAAAGAATGGGAAGACAGCGGTCTTCACCGTTTGTAGTTAAAGTAGCTTACTTTTGCAGATTTTACTAACACATACGAACGGTCGTTAGCTTTACTAACACATACGAATAAAGAATCTCTGCCTCAGGATTTCATGGGCTTCTTCAGGTGCAGCGTTTACCACACCATCACTGCACAGATGGGGAAACTGAGCCAGCTGAGCCCAGGGACCCCCGTCCTCTGGGGTGTGGAACTGCCTGGCCCTCCCATACTTGTGTGGAGGGCTGGCACCGGGGGTTACCTCTTGGAGGGTGATGCTGCAGCTCTGCCTCTGTAGTTCCCCGAAGCGATCCCAGATGAGGCCCGCGTTAAGTTCAGGGAGATGTGAATTCACTCCCCAGGGGGATGTATCTCCTCAGGACTCCTGTGGTCCCAGGTTGCTCTGGGATTGGCCCAGCCCATGGTGGCCACCAATGACCAGGGCGTTCCTGCTGGATGGGCTCCAGGCTGGGCTGAGCCCACTCTGGGGTGGAGGTAGAGCTTTCAGTCTAGAGAGCGTAATCCTGGGCTCTGCTACTCACCAGCCAGTGACTTTGTGCATTGCTTCATCTGTGACCCACTTTGGAATAAGTTGTTCTTTGCAGTGTTCTACATTTTTAAAAGTATTGATAGTTCTCATTCAAATGATTTTTCATAGACCATTACTAATGTTCTTTTCTGGCTGATTCTGTAATAATACATTTTAGATCCATTTGTAATAGGTTAACATTAATTCAGTTTCACTTGCCTCAAAAAACAAATCATTATTGTTCAATTATATAACAAATTGACAGTAAAATGACTGAGTTCATGGCATTTCAGGAGAACATTTCATGTTGTGCATACTGAATCGTTTAAACAGGTAACTTCACAGAGCTTTTTTCTGTAATATTCATAATCTAAGAGTTTCCTGATTGGTCTCTTACCTTTACTACAAAGTTTGTCACTCTATTTTAACAGAAATCCTCTAAATTCCTAGGACCAGCCACACGGAAGGAGTGAGAGGCCTAGAGCCGGAGTCCAGAGCCCCCTGCAGCTAGGTCTCCAGAGTCTGCTCGGAGCCCGCCCCTGGGGCCGCCCTATTATTACTCCCAGGCTCCTGGCTGCTCATCTGCTCTCAGGTGCCCTCCTCCCCCAGAGGCTGGCCTGGCTCAGGCTGGGGCTGGGCTGCAGGGGTTTCCTAGCTCTGACCCCACCCTGCCCTCTGCCCTCAGCCGCAGGGAAACCAGCTTCCTGCCGCTGCTCCCGGGACTTGACTTCCCCCTCTCTTGTATCCTGACATCCCAGGTCTGGAAGCGATGCTCCGCCTGCAGGTCCTGGAGCCTTGCCAGAAGTTTCTGGAAAAGCTAGTTGATTCAGCCTCCAGGAGAAGAGGAGAAGGTACTGGGCTGAGGGAGTGACCTGGAGGTGGGGCTCCGACTGTTTATAGGATCGTGGCTCCTCAGAGGCTGGCAGGTCCACCGTCAGTCCCATTCCATCGGAGTAGTCACTGCCAGCCAGCCAGGGAACTGTCATCTTGGAGAGAGCTGGGCCTGGAGTGGAGCCAAAGGTTTGGCATGGAGAGAATGACACCTAGGGGACCACCTGGCCATCCTCACCAGGTAATAATGTCACTGAGCCTGTCGGCATCACTCAGGACAGGGCCTGGAGCTAGCGTGCATTCTAACAAGCTTGACATAGCTGAAACCAAGGTGATTCTGGTCTCTGGAGAGGGGCTGGGTCCCAGACCTGGAGTCTCTGCCTAGGCAGAGGCTGGAGGTGGGAGGCAGATGGCGAGGGAATCTGTGCTTAGGGATGGGGAGTGGGTGGGATGATCAATTAGCATCCATAGAATCTAGGGCCCTGGAGACCAGGGTGAGGAGCATCATCTCAGCCTGACTCAGAGGCTGTGCCCGCAGCTCCCACTTCCTGTCTCTCCAACCTCCCCGCGCTGTCCTACTGCGGGTCACTGGGTGCCAGCAGGGAGAAAAGGCAGCCTGATCCTTTTACTCCCCCAGCTGAAGACCTCATGGTTATAGATCCTCTGGACCCCGCTCAATCTCCCTTGGGCTATATCCTCCGTGATGGGCAGAGACCAGCACTGAGCCACGGAGGATGGAGGAGGCCCCGGGGCTCCTGTGCAGGGGCAGAGAGGGTGGCTGGGACTCTCAGCAGAGAGGCACTTCCAGGATGCTACATGAAGCTGGGTGCAGGCGCCCTGCTTGAGACCCCTCCAGGAGCATCCAGGGTCAGTATCAATGAAGGCAGTATTCCAGGTGGCAGGATCTTTCAACAGGCAAGGTGAAGCCCCAGAGCCCTCAGGAGAAAAGAATCCTACTAGTTAACACATTAGTTGGCTAAATAATCCTATTTGTCTAAAACAAATCTATGAAATTCTAATGTTTAGATATCCATGGGGCAGGGGATGAGAGTTGCATGCGTTTACAAAGAAGCAAAGTCCTAAGAGTGTAGAACCACAAAGGGGTTGTGAGCTCTGGCCTTGAAGACCTGGGTTTAAATCCTAACTATATCACTTAACTAACTCTGTGACCTAGCGCAAGTCAACCTTGCTAAGCCTCAATTCTCTCATCTGTAAAATGGGAGGAAATGAGAGAACTATCTTATGAGGGTGTCAGGAGGATAAATAGAGTTTGAATATGTAATATGCTTAGTATAGCACCTAGGAACGTAACAAGCACTTAATAAATAGTAAGTAATAAGAGCAGTTATCTAGAAACTGCTTACTTTTTGCTAAGCATTCTACAAGCATTAACACATTTCAGCCTCAGAACACAGTGTCAGGTTGATACTATTGTTTGTCCCACTACAATGAGGAAACAGAGGCACCAGGAAGTTTAGTGACTTGTCCAGGCTCACACAGCAAGTAAACAGAGGACCAGGGTTTAGATCCAGACAACCTGGCTGGGAACCTGCTCTTCTGCCCCAGCAATGGCCAGTCATTATAGTGATTGTCACAGCCCATCCTCCGGGTGCTCTGTGTTAGTGACACTCTTAGAGGTGAGGAGAATGGGGTTCCATCTTAGGAAAAATACCCTCCAGGAAACTGTGGGCTTTCTGAAGTTGAGAGGCTCTCAGTGACCAGAGGGGGAAATGGGCAGCAACACCCAATTTGGGTATGGTGGCTGGCTGGAAAGTGAGCAATTGGGGGCGATTCTTAATAGCCCCAAATGGCTTTAGAGCAGCCCACAGGCTGTGGCCCTGAGGATCGGGGTGGGAGCTGGGGTAGAGCTTGGCTGCCTCTGCCTCGCCCTGGCTTGGAGCGGGCATTGAACCACAACTCCTCACAGGAACCCAGGTCCCAGCCAGCACCACCTCTGTGATGGGCGGCGATGGAATCTGGGTGTGGGGAGGAAACGGAGCCAGGTGCCTAAAATGACACTAAATCCCTGTCAACTACAACCTCTGGCTTAAGGCCTGTGGATGTCACTAGCATTGATTCCCAAGAAGGGAGAAATGAGCCTACCTTGCTGGGAGGGTCATGTGTGCTCTGCCAGAGAGCTGACAAGGATGACAAAGACACTTAGCAAGAAGCCACAAGACAGGGATGATGTGGGGACACAGGGTAGCAGGGTCGGGGCAAGGGCACAAGCCTGATTGGCTTTGCTGTGACCCGTTGTCCTTTAAGCTTCTCTGTGGGGCATGGAGAGCTGGTGCCGTGGACACTGAGCCAGCCCCTGGCAGGTAGCACCTGTGCAGAGCAGAGACGTTTCCTGGTGGGAGCCTAGGCTTTCAGATCACACGCATAGAAGTAGGACTGGTCGTGGGAGGGTGCAGAGCAGGAAAGAGCTTTGGTTTCATCGCAGTGCTGTCTCCCAACCATGCAAGGCTGAATGTCCACCATGCAAGCACGGTGCTGTCTCTGCCTCAGATCACAGGGCCTTATCATAAGAAACGTGTGCAGGGTGCCCAGAAAAATCTACTCAGCGGGGCCTCAGGAAGAACAGAAACCGAAGAGTCCCCTGGATCTCAGCAGTGGCAAGGACCTCAGAAGTAGGGGTTTGAGATACCCGCCCCCTCCCCGCCCCGGCCGGGCCCTGTCCCAGCAGGATTCAGCCACATCCCCCCTGCCCTCTGCTTTTCCTCCTGCCACCTACTACTGCTTGTCTTCTTGGTCCCTCTGAGCTTCTGCCCACTCCATTTCTTCTTCCACCTTATTGGGCTTGCCTGTGGGCTGATGTGGCCTCGCCACCATCTTAATAACTTTCACCCCCTGCACACGGTAACAGCCTGATGCTCTTGGAGTTTCCCAATTCACACCCAAGAGACAGTTTGTACCTGAGGCCATCACGGAGCACTGGGATCCCCAGAGCTCAGGGTCCTGGAGTCACGTGCCCACTTCCTGTCCAGAGGCCGGGGGAATGCCTGGCAGCAGGGTCCCATGCTTCACCAAAGGGCTGCCCTCCCTGTGAGCTCTGGGGGTGGCTGACCCCAAACTGACATGTCCAGTGTGGTGGCCGTTCCTTGGCCCTCTGTTTCCTGCTTTCTCTACTGTGCAATCCTGTCCCTGAAGGGAGGGCGCCCCACAAATTCTACCGCCATTCCCTGACTGCTGCGGCCCAGGACCATGGCCCTAGGGACAGTGATGGGCAAAGGCTGTTTGGCCCCAGAATGCCTGGCAGCGTCAGCGAGCAGCATCTCAGGAGAAGCCTCGGCACCAAATGGGGGGGCTCGTAACTGAGCAGGAGGGACTCTGTGGCCTATTTCTCTCCAGGGGGAGACCTCTGCCTGCTGGCAGCTCACCGTGAGGGTCCTGGAGGCGCGGGGCCTGGGCTGGGCTGACCTCTGTGAGTAACTGTGTCCTGGGCCCCAGGGGTGTGGGGAGGACCAGGTCCTACGGGGAAGGCCCAGTGCCTTGGGGCTGGGCTGGGCTGAGCTGGGCTGCCCAGAGTGGCTGCAGGGGTCTTGGGAGGAACCTGGAGAGGCCCCTGGAGAGGGGTGTGAGGAATTCTGTCTCACACGGTTCTCTTGATGTTGGCAGTGAGCAAGGCAGACCCCTATGTGATCCTACAGCTGCCAACCGCACCTGGAACAAAGTTTAAGACCAAAACGGTCACCAACTCCAGTCATCCAGTGTGGAACGAGACCTTCACTTTCCTGATCCAAAGTCAGGTCAAGGTGAAGACCAGAGGACCCCTGGCCACCCCCCTGAGGACAGGCTGTGCCCCACACTGGGAAGGTTCCTGGGGTAGAGTACACCTTCCTCCGGAGCTCAGGCAGAGAAACTGGGGAAGGGGGTGTCTTTGTGCCCCAGCCTGGATGTGCCGTGTGTGAGAGAATGTGTGAACGGCAAGCTACTGGTCCTCCCTAAACCCATCCATGGACTGGAGGCAGCAAGAGCCCTCCTGCCTGGGTTGTTTGAGGTTAAATGCGATCACGCACAGAGCACTCCCAGTATAGTGCCTGGTACCTACCAGGCCTTAGGGAACCAGCCAAGCAGGGGTGGGGTTGGGCTGGGGAAACTTCAAAAGAGTTTTATTTTTTATAAAAACAAAAATGAGCAGGGGGGCATTAGGAACTTTGCTGGATTTCCTTTTACCACTTCTAGGTTTTACCAGTGTTTTTATTTTGAAGTACAAAGTGCAGTGGCATAAGAATCTTTCCCGGCCCTCGGCATCAAGTGAGGATTCAACAGGTGTGAGCCACACTATGTGTTAATAACGTGCTACGTTGCTGTTCTCGGGTCCTTAGAATGTTCTGGAGCTGAGCATCTATGACAAGGATGCCGTCAAGACGGACGACGCCTGCTTCAAGGTTCTCTGTGATGTCTCTGAAGTCCTCCCTGGCAGGTTGCTCCGGAAGACCTTCTCCCTGCATCCCCAGGTGGGTGGAGGTTCCCGCCAGCCCCACCTCTCAGCTCCAGGCTGAGGAAGTGGCACAGTTTCTCCTGTCTGTTGGGATGCTGCTGGGTTTGAACTTCTTTGCAGGAAGACGGAAGGCCCACCCAGAGATATTTACATTTTCATAGGAAAGGAGGAGGTTAACTTGACTGTTACTGGCTGAATCACTTAAGGGAGGAATTCTAGTCAGCTACGGGGAAGGAAGGTTTTGGGTGATGGCAAACCTCCTCATGGGCCACAAAACACAGCTCGTTGTGACCAACTTTTCGGGGGGTGTGGGCTTATCACTCTTGCTTACTGCCTCTGACCCTCTCATGGTGCCCAAGACCTGGAGGGAGGGCAGAGTTCTGGGGTTGGTCCCCCTCGAGAGGAAGATGAAATGGGCCCTGGGCATCTTCAAGCCTCCTTTGGCTTGTGGTCTACATCTTCCCCTACAGCCTTGCCAGGCAGGGATCTAGCTAGCTGTGGGTAACTTGGGCAGGTAGCCCATCTTTCCCCAGGACTCGATTTCCTCATCCGTAAAATGGGAAGAGTTGTAACACTGTGCCTCCCTTAGAGGCTGCTCGGGATGATGAGATACATAAGGGAGCTGTGTCAACTCTAAAGACATGTGTGCATGTTGACAGCTTGCTCAACTTTAATTTCAGGGACCAGAGGAGCTGGACGTGGAGTTCCTGATGGAGAAAACGTGAGTAATACCACACAGATCAGGGGGTGTCTCAGGACCCAGGCTTTCCTTAGGAAAATGCCTTTAACCCAGATCTTCCCATTGGTCTGACCAGCCCAGATTTGCTGTTCCTCATCTCTTACCCCTGCCGGTCGGGTTGGGGGAACCCTCAGAGAAATGAGGAGAGAAAGGCTGGTGTTTTGTCTGCCATGGTGAAAGGTGAGGACCTTTCACTCTTCAGAAGCATCTCCCCACACCCTGGATCATACCCAGGATGTAGAGAGCCCTCAGTGTCACCCAGGGAGGCCCCACCTGGGTGCAGCCTGGCTGGGAGGGGGCACATCAGTGCAGGAAGCCTTTGCCTTTGCAAGGCCGGACTCTGGATGGTTTGATTTTTCCAGGTCAGGCTGCCCAGAAAACCTCATCACCAACAACGTGCTTGTGGTAACCATCTTCCCCAGGCCTGTGGGGTGGGGTGCGCTAAGGGAGGGGCCCCAGTGCAGACACTGGGGTAGGGGCAGGGCTGCCTGGCAAGTGGGCCGCAAGGGACAAGGCAAGGACGTGGCTTTGCAGTAAGACCAGTCCACTTCCCTGCTAGGTGGTCACCTGGGGCTGCAGTCTGGCCTCGGAGGGGCCTGGGGCTAAAGAACTCGGAGAGAGAGGGGAGGCCCGAGGCTCTGCTGAGAGGAATTCTGGCCCAAGGCAGGAGGGTTGAGGGAACATTGGGGGAATTTTAGGCATTTCCTGATGGTGTTCTGTTCTGTGTGATAACTTCATAATTCTTAGCCCTGAAGGGGGCGAGCAAGTCTCTCGAAGGCCAGGCCAGCAGGCTCAGGTTACAGTGTGGTGTGCTTCCAGTCAGGGAGCTTTGAGATAGGATCAGGGGTCAATCAGCTTCTCCTCCGGACAATGGAGGGTCAGCTCTCCTAAAGCGTAGCGAGCTCACGAAGCTGCAGTGGACAGGAATGTGCGGAGAGCGAGGATTAGAAACTTTCTACTCAAAGGAACACCCTCAACAAGCAACACAGGCATGACCTGGGAGCTAAGCCAGGCCCTGCATGTAGTAAGGCAGCTGGCGTTCAAAACTGAAGCAGGCATCCATCCACCCTTGGGGTCCTACGAGTGCCTGTTTGATGGGCTAGTATTACTTTTTCAAATACATCTTAAAATAGCCACACCTATGGCAGCTGCCTTTTATCTGAGGTGTTGGAGACCAGCGGCATGTTGATGAGCTCAGCAGTTCTCAGGGAGAGGGTAGCGGCCAGAGCTGAGTGGGCTGCAGGCATCAGCTGGCACGCGTTACAGAGAGAATGCAGCAGGCTCACTTGGCAAGTCGGTCAACGGGAGGACTGGTCCTACCCTGGACCCTACTTCTGGCTCTGCGCGTGGTGGATTTGGGACAGGGGGCTCAGGGGGTGAGGTTGAGGGGAGACCTCAGCTTCCCCTGCAGAGCCCCCTGCCCATGACGTGATCTGCCCCAGGCCCGAGAACTGTCTTGCCTGGACGTTCACCTGAACAGCACAGGGAGCACAGCCGAGGCTGCAGGTGAGACCTGCTCAGCGTGAGGTCTGGCCTCTTGCCTGGAGTGTGGAGGGTTGCTGGGTGTGGCTGGGGAACCTGTCCAGCAGGAGGCTGCCCACACAGCGCAAAAGCAACTGGTCTCCTCTGGGCAGGAGAGTCCCCCTGACCTGGGGGAAGGCCTGTCGCTGGAGGTGGGAGTCCCATGGGGGGTGTGGGGAGAGCCCTCTCCAGAATGCTGTTTGCCATGGTCCAGCCACCCGGCCTCCCCATGGCTTGGGCAGTACTGCTGGTTTCCTGGATTCTAGCTGGGGTTCCGGGCTCTTGTTTCCCTTGTGCTAACCTGTCCACTCTCTCCCTAGATCAGGACGAGCTGGAGCTGGAGCTGGTGCTGAAGGGCTCATATGAGGACACACAGACATCTGCCCTGGGAACAGCCTCTGCCTTCCGCTTCCACTACATGACAGCCCAAGAGGCAGAGCTGAGTGGGTGCCTGAGGGTAGGTTTTGGCTCTGGAGCTCCCCTGCCGACCCCAGCCTCGGGCCAGCTCCACCTGCTGCAGGCTTCTCTCTGGCCTTTCACCTGCCAAGGTCAGGGCCCTGTGGCCTTGTCAGCCTCCCCCAGTTAGGCACCATGTCCTTGGCAGACAGGGAGGATCACCAGGGGCCTCGCGTGGGCACGGGGGGCTGCTGTGCCATGTCAGTCTTTGTTTGAAGTCTTCAATGGCTCCTCCGATAAGGCTCCTAGAATAAAATCCCATTTCTGCGTCCATAGGCCCTGCATAACCTGGCCCCTGCGCACCTCTGTTGCCTCATTTTCTTCCATGCTCCCCCTCATTCACGATGCTCCAGCCATACTTGTCTCTTCTTGCTTTTCCAACATACCAAGTGCTTTCCCTGTCCTCCTGCGGCTCCTTCCGAGGCTGCCTGCTCCTCTTTCTCCTCCTCCTTTAGATCTCAGCTCAGATGGCACCTCTTCAGAGGCCCTCCTTGACCCCCCCCCCAACATCTTAAACAGATTCTACGTACCCCACCTTTGGTTACTCTATTACATCATCCTGCTTATTTCCTTTACAATACTTACTAACGTCAGTTCGTTACCTGTTTCTTTATAAGTTCATGCACATGACTCAGAATAATAAATAAACACACATCAGCTATTAATACACTAAATAAATATAAGCTATGCTTATTTTTTAATTTTTATTTATTTATTTATTTATTTATTTTGCGGTACGCGGGCCTCTCACTGCTCTGGCCTCTCCCTTTGCGGAGCACAGGCTCCGGACGCGCGGGCTCAGCGGCCATGGCTCACGGGCCCAGCCGCTCCACGGCATGTGGGATCTTCCTGGACCGGGGCACAAACCCATGTCCCCTGCATTGGCAGGCGGACTCTCAACCACTGCGCCACCAGGGAAGCCCCCTATGCTTATTATTTTTTATTGAAGTTTAGTTGATTTTTAATATTATGTTAGTTTCAGATGTATAGCAAAGTGATTCAGTGAGCTATTATTATTTTTGTAATGATTAGTAATTGTAATTTTTTAATTACAATAATTGTAAATACTGTAATTATTTTTGTATTATCAGGGAGGGTCTGTGTCTGTCCAGATCACTGTCTAGATACTCAGTAAGGATTTGTTGAGTGAGTGAATGAATGAATGACTTTTCTTTCCAGACCTCTAAAAGCAATGGCTGGAACTCAGGCAACTCAGCTGGGTACCTCACTGTACCCCTAAGGTCCTTGGCCATGGGGAAGGAGGTGACAGTTGACGTTCCTGCTACAAATGTAAGTGGCCTCAGCTGGATGGGAAGTGCCAGTGAGAATAAAGACCCCAAGGCCCCCAGGGGATACCCACACTCCCTTCAGGGTCTAGGACATTCTGAGTGGGGTCTCTTGTTTTGATTTCAGGCCCCAGGAGTGAAGCTGCAGCTCAAGGCTGAGAGCTGGTAAGGGACATTCACATCTGTGGGAGACAGAGGTAGTCACGGGGCTGGGGAGTATGTGGAAAGTGTGGTCCTAGGGGTTGGGAGCAAGGAGTTTATTTGGCAGCTACCGTGGGCTCGACCAGCCAGTAGCTGAGCTATGCAGGTGCCCCCTGATCCTTGGATCCTCCACTGCCCCAGCCTGAAGGAGCTGGCTGTGCATCTGGGCTTCGATTTGTGTGCGGAGGAGAAAGCCTTCCTGAGCAGGAGGAAGCAGGTGGTGGCCAAGGCCCTGAAGCAGGCCCTGCAGCTGGACAGAGACCTACAGGAAGATGAGGTTTGTGGGGGAAGGGGGATGTGGGTACAGATACCTTGCACTCGCCTTAAGGGAGTGCCTGATTGCTATGCCCTCTCCAGATACTCCAGTCAGCAGAGGCTGAGGAGTGGGCATATGTGGGGAGATGTGGGGCATGGGGAAGCTCTCTTTGGGGATCTATCCAAGGCTGAGAGCTGTCATTTGCTGGGGAGGAGCCGGGCGCTAGCTCTAACCCTGACTCCTTCAGGCTCTGACCTCGAGTCCCTTCCCTGGAGGCAGGAGGCAGCTCCATCCCTGTCCTTGTTAAGCCAACCTGTGTCTGTGCAACCCAGGTCCCCGTTGTGGGCATCATGGCCACAGGAGGAGGTGCCCGGGCCATGACCTCTCTCTATGGCCACCTGTTGGCCCTGCAGAAGCTGGGCCTTCTGGACTGCGTGACCTACTTCAGTGGCATCTCAGGCTCTACATGGTGAGGGCCCTTGGGACTTGGAAGAGCAGAGATGATCAGGCCCCAAGGGGAAATGGAGTGGACGTCAGAGGGGCCCTCTAAGTGGGTGTGAGCAGTATGTTCTGATGGGTGCCAAGTGACTTTCTCAAAAGGGGGGAAACGGACATTCAGAGGTCCTGCCATGAGCAAGGCATTGCAGGACATCCATTCCATGCTACTGATCCAGAAGGAGCTGGGTTTGAGTTTCTGCAGCACTACTTACTGGCTAGGTGACTCTGAGCAACTTATTTCCCCTGCTTCTCAGTCGACTCATCTCCAAAGTGGGGGAAATAATACTACATACTCCATAGTACTGGAGTGGGACAGCCCAAGTAAAGCACTTAACATGTCTGACATGTACCAGGAGCTCCAAATTGGTAGCTTTTTTTCCTTTAATTGTCATTGCCTCATTTAATCCTCACAACACTCTCTGGGGTCGTTTCTCTTATTGTATAGTATAGATGAGGAAACTGAGGTCAAGAGATGCTATTTTACCTAAAGACAACATTGCCACCCTATGCTCCACTCTGCCTATGACGAAGTGGGACTTTTCACTATTAGAGATTCATTCCTTTGAGTCTTATCGAAATGTGACTTTAAGAAGTAAAAGAGGAGTAAACTCAGAGTTTAGGTGACAGCTGTTGACAAGCAGAGTCTTAAAGGGCTTCAGGACGGATCTATAAAGATGGGAGTAGGGGTCTACAGCTGTACAATACAGTAGCCACTAGTCACGTGTGGTTATTGACCACTTGAAATGTGGCTAGTCCAAACTGAGATGTGTTATAAATATAAAATGCACAGTGAATTCTGAAAGAACAGTTTGAAAAGAATATTTATATTAATTTTCATATCGATTACACACTGAAATGATAATTTTAGATACTGAATTAAATGAAATATACTGTTAAAATTAATTTTTCAGATCTTTTTTTACTTTTTGAAAATGTGGTTACTACGAAAATTTAAATTACATATGTGGTTCACATTCTATTTATATTGGACAGTACAGATCAAGAAGGAGAGAATGCCCTGAGGCAGTTTCCAGATAGGTGGGGCTTTGGCAGCCAGAGCCACGTGTTGGGAGAAGTCGGAGGGTGGAAGTTGGAGTTGCAGCGACCCATGCTGGGCCTTGACCTCAGACTGTAATGTCCCTTTGTTCTCTCAGGACAATGGCCCATCTGTATGGGGACCCTGAGTGGTCCCAGAGGGACCTGAAGGGACCCATCGGACACGCCCGGGAGCACCTGGCCAAGAGCAAGCTGGAGGCCTTCTCTCCTGAGCGCCTGGCGAGCTACTATCGGGAGCTGGAACAACGGGCTGAGCAGGGCCACCCCACGACCTTTGTGGACCTGTGGGGTCTGGTGCTGGAGTTTGCACTGCACGGACAGGTAGGGCTCCTGCGCATGCGAGGCGGAGCCTATGTGCAAGGGTGAGGGCTGGGGCAGCCTTGTAACTAGCTGACGTGTGCACGTACATTTCCTGCTGGGTAAGAGGCCAGTGGTTAAAGGATGTGGGAACTGCTGTACTTCCTTGTCTGCCAACTTTGGGAAGCCGACATTTTGAATCAGGTTATTCTTCAACTGATTGCCATGAAACAGAAATTTCTGGGTCTCCCAAGAGCTAAGGACCAATGTCAAAGTCAGTTAAGCATCGTGTTTAAGAGTCAGTGAGGTTTTTGGAACAGCTTTCATTTTATTTTATTTATACTGTAATATGAAATGTATTTTTCTTCATCTTCATGGTAGTGTTAAAAGCACAGACTCTGGAGCCAGATTTCCTAGATTCTAATCCCAGTGCCTCTTACCAGCTGTGTCCTTAGGCAAACTACTTAACTTCTCTGTGCCTCAGTTTTTTTCATCTGTACAATGAGGATGAGAAGGGTACTTAACACATAGGGTTGCTGTGAGCACTCAGTGGCGCCTTGGCATAGAGTAAGCATTAAGTGTTAGCTATTCTATTTCTTTACTATTATCCTAACACCATTAATACAAAACGGAGCAAATAAATTTTTTATGCGTTGCTTCTTTAAGGAAAGCTTAGTAAGTTAATTGCTGAATCTTACATTAACTGATGTAATTATTAAAATCAGGAATTTTTTTCACATTGTTGTTTTACCACATATAGTTATCTGAACAAAGTTTCTTTTAAAGCATTTGAAACAGCTAAAACACAGAAAGTATTTTTAACATGCATAACAAAAAAGTAAACTATCAAATATATTAGCAGAGGAAAGATTCTTACCTTTCTTATCTTTGGATATCAGGTGTTTGACCAAGAATGATTAGCGTGTAAACTAATGCCAAAAGTGAATTTGTTTTAACTTTTTTCTTTAAATTTTATTCTTGTTGGCAAGCCCAGTGCTACTTGGAAATTACCAACCATTCTTGTTTTTTAGTTATTAGTTTAAAAATATTTATTATAAAATATTAATATTAAAAATTTCTCACAATGATCTTCAGACTTAAGAAAATGCATAAGCATGAAGAATAATATAAGGAATATGCATGAACTCACTAATCAGCCTAAGAAGTGAAATATTACAGATAGAGCCAAAGCCCCCCCTGTGGACCCCCCTTTCAGTCCCATTTCCCTCCCACCCCCAGAGGTAACCACCATCCTGAATTTAGTTTTATCATCACATACATATCTGCAATCTGTACACTTTATAATATTATATAATATATAACATATTTTATAAACCTTTATTATATACTTTATTAGATATACGTTTATTATGCATACTTTTATTAAAAATATATATCCTTAAGAAAAATGTCATATTATTTGTACAATGGTTTTGTAGACGTCTCCTTGTGCCCTTGTGTTAGAGATTCTCTAAGCCTTGAAGATAGATGATAGCCAGTAGTGGAATTGTTAGGCCATTGGGTAGTGTATCTTCAACTTTTCTAGCTATTGACAAGTTGTTCTCCAAAAAGGTTGTATTAATTCACACTCCCACCACCAGTGTATCATAGTTTCTTTTTCTCTACATGCTCTTCACACTTTTAAGTGTTTTTTCATTTTATGGGTGTGAAAGGAAATTTTATTGTAGTTTTCCATTTCCTTGGTTTTTAGTGACAGTGAGCATATTTTCAAGTATATTTGTCATTGGGACATCCTCTTTTTTTTAATGCTAACTTCTTTAAAAAAAATTATTTATTTTATTTATTTATTTTTGGCTGTGTTGGGTCTTCGTTGCTGTGCGCGGGCTTTCTCCAGTTGCAGCGAGCAGGGGCTACTCTTCGTTGAGGTGTGCAGGCTTCTCACTGCAGTGGCTTCCCTTGTTTCAGAGCACGGGCTCTAGGTGCGTGGGCTTTAGTAGTTGTGGCACACGGGCTCAGTAGCTGTGGTTCGCAGGCTCTAGAGCACAGGCTCAGTAGTTGTGGTGCACGGGCTTAGTTGCTCCGCGGTATGTGGGATCTTCCTGGACCAGGGTTCAAACCTGTGTCCCCTGCATTGGCAGGCGGATTCTTAGCCAATAGGGAGTCCCTCTATTCCATTCTAATGGGGCTCATTCTCTATCCCTGTGCCAATCCTGCCCTGCATTGGCAGGCGGATTCTTAGCCAACAGGGAGTCCCTCTATTCCATTCTAATGGGGCTCACTCTCTATCCCTGTGCCAATCCTGCCCTGGCTTAGTTACTACCTTTGTGATAAATCTCAGTTTCTGATAGGGCAAATTTACCCCCATCTGCCACCTTGGTTCTCAGAATTATCTTGGCCACTTTTGGCCCTTTGCCCTCCTATATACATAATAGAATCAGTTAGTCAAGTTTCATGATAAATATTGTTGGGATCTTTGTCGAAATGGCACGGAATTTATAAAACCAACATAATTACTTGAAATGTTTTTATTTTATTAATATATCCCATGTATTCTTTGGCTCTACTGTTTAAGTTCATGTTTGGTTTTGAGGGTGCTGTGTTTTATTAACTGACTTTTCTGCCTGGCGGCAACAATTAATTGCTATAGAGTGGGGAAAGCTTGTTTTAACAGTTCATTTTATGAAGTGCTAGAAAATGCAATTTGATCCTAGGCTATAAAGAAGGCATATTTAATTACATTTGATCCTCCAGTAATGACTTAATACATGGTTTTATGTACACAGTTTGTAGTCATTTTAAAAAAGACAAACTTATTGTTCACAAGAATAAAAATCCTTGCGATATTACTGAACAACAATGCATTCTTTAAAATGAGTACCCATGCAGTTCAAAAAATTTTGTCACAATGTGAAAGCTTTGCAAATGTTGTTTCTTTTTTTTTTCTTAGTCATCATGCTTTATCTCTTAAAGCTCACATTTTTAAAATAATTCTTTATTGAGAAAAATTTAGTGTTGATTTCAAATTTGCCTTTAGATAAAAATAAGTATTTATTATCTCTATACTATACTGAGCTACAGTACCAAAAGTCATTTTAAGTCGTCAGAAAATATAACTCCATAGACAACAAATCACAATTTCATTAATACTAAGTATTATTAGAGAAATATTATACCCTGAAACTTAGAACAACTTACTTAGTCTATATGCTTTTATAATATTACTTCAGTTTTTATAAAAACCCACTTACAAAATACACCTGTTGTAATCAGGGCTTCTCAAATTATCTCTTTGAAACTTTGTTTTTACTCTCTTGCTGGCAAACACCGAAAGGCTTAGAAGCTGCTCACCATTCTTCAAGGAGAAACTTACAGTTTTTCTCCTATCTTTTCCTGAGTTAAAAAGGTCTTACATATTTTTCTTCAACTCTAGACAAAAGGTTTTATATACACTTTAGTGCCACCCTGTGCAAGACCCAGATCACACTGACACACCACCAACTGCACCCAGCTCCCACACTCCAGGTGGGACACTTGAGTCATCAGAGTGGTGTTCTGCAGGGTTGGGGACCCTCATTTGGAAACTGGGGGGGGGGGGGGGGGCGGGTAGAGATCCAGAGACTTGCCATGACTTACTGGTGAGCTATTAAAAGGAAAAGGAATACTGGGTGCTGTTTCAGTTGATAGAGAGGTGTGCTGACCCTTTTCCAAGGCTTTTCCAGGGCAGAAATTGCATCTGTAGTAAAAGATTGTACACGTCAAAAGAGCAGGCAAACAGGATTCCTAAATAAAAGACTTTGAGAAAGGAAATCACAGGTATTCATCAAGCCCCCTCCCTCCTCAGCACACATACATACTCACACCCACAGGACTAACTTGTAAATATAACAAATGCTCAGTGCCAGGCCGCTTGAGCCATATTTGGAGAATTTCCTGTGGATTCCCTATAACTCAAGTCATATTGGGTACCACTGAAGAACTGGAGGAAAAGGTGGCTGTGACCTGAGTGCTCCCACTGTGTGACAGAGGGCTGCCAGGGGAAGGGAAGCACACCAGGTGTGCTGAGGCTTTGTCACGGGTGCGGGAGCCGGACTCCCTGTTGGATGGGCTAGGCTAGAGTCCCGGGATGCACATCTGGCTGATCATCAGAATCACCTGGGGAGGTTTTAAAACGACAAATTCCTAAGTGGTTTCTGATGACTCTCAGAAGAGCCCCAGTAATCTGTATATTTAACTCTCAGTAAATCTGATGCTAAAGGTTGATATGGCAGGGTGGGAACCTCCTAGGTCTAGCTGCTGAGCGGGGTGCCTTCCAGCTCAGAGAGCCTAAGAGAGAGGTGGTACTCACACTGCTCCATGAGTAACAACCCAGGGCCTGTGGCAGCAGTATCCTTCCCCAGGTGGGGTTCCAGGCAGTCACCACCCTCAACCTTGCTGAGGCTTGAGATGAACTCTATTTTCATTTCTGGTCTGGGATAGAAGGAGACCTTTCTGTTCCCCTAGAATTCAGTGAGGCTCTGTGGCGGCTTCCCCAAAAGGCAAGCTAGAGTCCTTGCCAGAGCTTGGAGTTCTATTGGAGGGAAAATTAGAAACAAAAGGCAAGGATAAATAGTGGGGTACAACTTTGTGCCGTGCAAAGCAGGAAAGGAGCAGATGAGAATGTCAGGAGAGTGTTTGGCAGGGGCTGAAACTTGAACTGGTCCAGGTGAACCTAGAAGGGGCAGCCCATCCCCTGGCAAAGCTTACAATGTACACTGAAGGGGGATTTCTGAGTCCTTTCTGGAAAGCAGCGTGTGTGTGTGTGTGTGTGTGTGTGTACGCGTGTGTGCCTTTGTGCCTGTGCATCAGGGTCCATGTACCCTCCATGCTTCAACCCATAAAGAGGGGCCACTGGAACCACAGGATGCAGGGGTGGGTGTCACTGTTGACACTGTGGTCCTTGTGAACAGTGCTGTCTGCAGATACGCAGTGCACAGCCCTACATGGAGACCCCGACGCTCCTCACCCCCAGCCTGTGCTCCCACCCTGCCTCCAGGGTGCTCCCAACCTTACTTTGGCCCCCACGCCCCCACCCCAGGTGTTGGATCAGAAGCTGTCAGGACAGAGAGCTGCGCTGGAGCGGGGCCAGAACCCTCTGCCCCTCTACCTGAGCCTCAATGTCAAAGAGAACAATCTGCAGACCCCGGACTTCAAGGGTACAGTCCTCAGTCCTGTCCACTCCACCCTCCAACACACACACGTGCACGCACACCTCCTCTGCACCCTGAGGGCCCCCAGAGAGTTCACACAGGAAACTCCTGCACAGATGGCCAGCCTTCTGGAAGGACGGTGGTTCTGATGGGCTGATGAGGTAGCCAGCAGAGCTCGCCGTCCTGGGGCAGGGCTGTGGTGGTGAGGATGTAGACAAGGGGCTGGGTGGGGGAGAGGTCAGCTCAACAGTCAGCCGGGCGGGGAGGAGGCGGAGGCCTGCTGGGGGGCAGTGTCTTTGGCCCTTGTCAGAGCTGGGGCTCCCCCAACCCCCTGTCCTTTCATTCCCTCCTGGCCCCTCAGAGTGGGTCGAGTTCTCCGCCTATGAGGTCGGGTTCCTGAAGTACGGCGCCTTCATCCCCTCCGAGCTCTTCGGCTCCGAGTTCTTCATGGGGCGGCTGATGAAGAGGATCCCTGAGCCCCGCATCTGCGTCCTGGAAGGTGAGCGGTCGTCAGTCTGAACGCCCTGTGCCCAGGTCTGGGCAGAGCAGCCGGGGAGGGCAGATACTGAGCTGGGGGGAAGGGCCATTGCAGAGGCAGCCCGCTGCCCCTCCTATTCTCCATCTGCATTCAGGGGTGGGGACCACTGCCTTCCAAGTGATGGGGGGCAGGGCACTGAGGCCTGAGGCTGACCTCTCTTGGGAGTTTGGCCTTCAGGTATCTGGAGCAACATTTTCTCCCTGAACTTGCTGGATGCCTGGTATAACCTCACCAGCTCCAGTGATGCCTGGAAGCAGCACATCAAGGACAAGATCAGGAGCCTGGGTAGGAAAGGGAGGCACTGAGGGGAGCCTGCGGTGAAGCCGCTTCCCCTTCAGATGCTACAGGGTCGGCGGGGGGGACTGTCAGGGGAGGGAGGGCCAGGCATTTCCAGACCCCTCAATGGACCAATGTCTGCTTCTCTGGGCTCAGAGGAATCCCCTCCCTCCTCGGGGACCTCCTCAGGGCCGGAGGCCTTGTGGCTCCAGCCTGGAACAGCGCTAGCCCAAATGTTGAAGGGCTTCCTGACGAGCAGACCACTCTACCAGCACAGCTCCAACTTCCTCCAGGGCCTCCAGCTGCACCAGGACTACTGTGCCCAGAAGGACTTCTCCACCTGGGCAGGTAAGGGCCACTGCCATGTGTCCCCAGGTAACAAGGTTGGGCTTCTGGGTGGAGATGGACCATGGCTGGGGCTGGCAGAGGCCTGGGGGGTCCCAGCATCCACTCCTGGGGTGTGGCTTGGAGGAGGTCTTGGGAAGGGCTGGGCTGGCACGTGCATTCAGGGAGTGACACCAGGGGTTAGAAGGGGACGTGGAGGCGAATGCAGTATTAGGGGTGGGTGGATGATCTGCGTTGGACTGGCTGCCCCTGACTATTTCTACCTCTCCCATCAGACAGCCGGGTAGACTCCTCCGCTGGCCACCTGACCCCGCAGGAGCCCCAGCTCTGCTTGGTGGATGCCGGCTACTTCCTCAACACCAGCTGCCCCTCCATGTTCCGGCCAGGCCGCAGGCTGGACCTCATACTATCCTTCGACTACTCTCTATCCTCGCCCTTTGAGGTGCCGCTGGTCACCCCATGGGAACCCCAGACCCTTCGCCCACCCAGGCCATGCTCCAGGGACGAGCAGCAGGGCCACTGGCCCAGACCTTCTGGGTCCCCAGGGGGAGGGAGAGATGACAGGCTGTGACTCAAAGGCTCCTGCCAGGGTTGGGAAGGGCTGTGGAGGTGCTGGGGCCCTGGGCTCCCAAGAACGGTAGACAGGGAGGAAGCTCGCCATGCCCACCCCAAGAGGAACCGCTGGACAGAGCTAGGAGGAGAGCCTGGCCTGTCCACGTCCATCCTCCCAGGGGCCTCCCTGAGGACTCTGGGGAAGGGGGTGGGTAGGGCTGTGAGACAGAAGTGGGTCCCCTACTGAGGCCCTGGAGGCTCTGAGATTGAATATCCCAGAAACAGCAATCCCATATGGGGTGCTAGATCTGTACCCCACCTAAAGATTTTAGTCAAACAATACTGCAGACCACCGGGATCCTTTGCTTCCCTCCAAGGCACTGTGTAGCTTGACTGGGCCACGAGCAGGACAGAATCAGGTTGTCTTGAGCAGTCAGTTTGGGCTGGAGCTGTCCTAGCGTCTTCTAGAGTGCTGACCTGGGATGACTGGGAAGTAGCCATTGCTCTCTGAGCTCCCTCTGCCCCGCCAGGTGCTACAGCAGACGGAGCTAGACTGCCGGGCCCGGGGGCTGCCGTTCCCCCGTGTGGAGCCCAGCCCTCAGGACCGACGCCAGCCCTGGGAGTGCCACCTCTTCTCAGACCCTACCTGCCCTGATGCCCCTGTCCTGCTTCACTTCCCGCTGGTAAACGCCTCCTTCAGGGACCACTCAGCCCCAGGTGAGGCAGCCCCCCTTCCTAACAGCCTGGAAGCCTGGCCCCTCAGAGGCACCGCTCTGGGCCCTCCCAGTGCCCCTGCAGCCAGCAGAGGCAGGAGTCTTAAGGCTAGTCCCACCCAGTCTGGGACACGGCAATACCCTGGCCTGTTGTGGATGCCCAGATCCCTGCAGAGGCCCTCCGTCTGCAAAGCCACTGGGCTGGTGTCCTCTTTGTCATGACCCCAGGCTCCTTTGGCCTCCCCCTCCCCATGCCCGTCACTACAACTGGGCTCTGCTCCCCCGCTCTATGGCAGGGGCCATGTATGGGAATCCCTGCACTGTCACCGTCCACCACTACTGCGCACCACATTGTTGGAGGACTTCCTAAAGGCCCCCCAGGCTGGACAGCCAGAAAAGAGAAGCCCCGGTCCCCTCTCTCTCAGATTCCCCTAAACCTGTCTGGGGTCACAATTGGCCTCTCTGTCATTCTACCGCAGACCACTCTGGGGTCCTTTCTCAGGGAGCTGGGCCTCTACTCCAGGGCCCCCGAAATCTGAACTCTCATCACATTCCTTCTAATCCTCGCCTCCCACCAACTGGTCAGACTTTTATCGCCTTTTGATGGGAAAACCTAATTCTGCCTTTGTGCAATCTTCTGGCTTTCTAGTTCCTGCCATAATTCCAAACCTTCTAGCTTTACTCATTAACATGCTAAGCCCGCATCTTGGGATTCTCTTTCTCTCTCAACAAAGACTGTTTCTTGCAAAACAAAAGCTCTTTGGTTTTCAGACGCTTGCTTCCATCATGAGTTTTAAGAATCCACCCACTAACCTAAAGGGCTTTGTTTTTCTGCTGCTTCCGCCTTACCCCTGGGGGTGAGGTGGATACCAGGGCGGGGGCCTGAACCGTGGAAGATGTGTAATGCTGTGAGAAAATGTGGGAAGCAGCACATGCTTCATACCTCAAAATAGCATCCTGCTATCCACAGTTATAGTTCTGGGCAAAGGACACGGGGCTGGGAGGAACCCCTTCAGTGGGGAGCAGCTCACCCCTGTGTCCAGCCACCAGGAGCCATTCTGCCAGCTGTGGAGGCCTCTGGGCCCTGCGCCTAACCCCCTTCCACCCCTGGACAGGTGTCCAGCGCAGCCCTGCAGAGCTCCCGGACGGCCAGGTGGATCTCACGGGGGTCAACTCCCCCTATTCCATGTTCAACATGACCTACAAGGAGGAAGACTTTGACCGCCTGCTGCAGCTCAGTGACTACAACGTACGGAACAGCCAGGGCACCATCCTGCAGGCTTTGAGGACCTCTCTGAGGCACCGGGCCCCGGGGGCCAGGCCTCCAGGGCCGCAGACTTGAGACTTCTCGGGGTCCCCAAGATTTGAGGGCCACGCTCTGATCCTGGGGGCTGGGGGCTTAATCCACCTGCAGTGGGTACAGCCACGGCCCTCATGGGGCTGGAGTTCCCGGTCTCTCCCAGGCCTGGGCCGCCTCTGCGGCTGGTCTCATCGCCCAGAGGGGCTGTGTCCTACCCAGAGTTCTCCCTCACCTTCATAGCTGGTTTGGAAGGAGCTGACAATAAACTCCTTACCAGGCCAGCATATAGAACAGCTGGTTCGACCAAACATTTACACGTAGTTCTTTTCACGCCTGAACAGAATGGAGTTGAGGTGCAAGCTGGAGGTGCCAGACCAGGAGTGGGGACAGGCAGGGCAGGGGAGGGCCTGGAAGGTGGCTCCAGGTATCAGGAATCACAGTACCTCCTGACAGGCTCCCCTTACTGCCTCTGCTCCTCTCCTCTTATACTATTTTTACGCAACTTTAGTGAGATATAATCCATATGCCATATAATTCATCCATCTAAAGTATGCAATTCAATGGCTTTTACTATATATTCAGAGTTGTGAAAGCATCGCCACAATCAATTTGAGAACATTTTCATTAACCCAAAAAGGAACCCCTCATCGCTTAACTGTCAACCTCAAACCACACCCACCCCAGCCCTAGGCAACCACTAATCTACTTTCTGTTTCTTTAGATTTGCTTATTTTGGACATTCCATATAAATGGAATCATAGAATATGTAGCCTTTTGCGTCTGGTTTCTTTCACTTAGCGTAATATTTTCAGGATTCATCCATGATGTAGCAGGTATCAGTACTTAATCCCTTTTATGGCTGTGTAATACTCCACTGTATAGATATACCACACTTTATTCATGGGCTGATGGACATTTGGATTGTTTCTGCTATTTTTGGTTATTATGAATAATGCTGCTATGAACATTCATATACAATTCTTTTGTGTGGACAATGTTTTTAATTCTCTTGCATGTACACCTAGGAGTGAAATTGCTGGGTCATAGTCTTTTTTTTTTTTTTTTGGGTCATAGTCTTTTGAGGAACTGTCAGAATGTTTTCCAAAGTATCTGCACCATTTTACATTCCTGTCAGCATTGTATGAGGGTTCCCCTTTCTCCACATCTTTGCCACCTCTTGTTACTGTCTGTCTTTTTTATTATAAATATCCTAGTGTGTGTGAAGTGGTATCTTGTATGCGTTTCCATAATGTTGATGTTAAGGATCTTTTCACATATTTATTGGACTTTTGTATATCTTTTTTTTTTTATAAATGTATGTATTTATTTATTTTTGGCTGCGTTGGTTATTCATTGCTGTGTGCGGGCTTTTCTCTAGTTGCAGCGAGCGGGGACTACTCTTCGTTGCAGTGTGCAGGCTTCTCATTGCAGTGGCTTCTCTTGTTGTGGAGCATGGGCTCTAGGCATGCGGGCTTCAGTAGTTGTGGCACATGGGCTCAGTAGTTGTGGCTCATGGGCTCTAGAGCGCAGGCTCAGTAGTTGTGGTACACAGGCTGAGTTGCTCCACAGCATGTGAGATCTTCCCAGACCAGGGCTTGAACCTGTGTCCCTTGCATTGGCAGGTGGATTCTTAACCACTGTGCCACCAGGGAAGTCCCTGTATATCTTCTTTAGAGAAATATCTATTCAGATCTTTTGCCCATTTTAATTGGATTATTTGTCTTTCTGTTGAATTGAGAAAGTTCTTCATATGTTCTCTGATTTGATGTATGATTTGCAGTTTTTCTCCCAGTCTGTGGGTTGTCTTTTCACTTTCTTGATGATATCCTCTGAAGCACGGAAGTTTCTGATTTTGATGGTTCCCAGTTCATTTAAATTTTCTTTTGCTGCTTGTGCTTTTGGTGTCGTATTTAAGAAGCCATTGCCTAATCCAAGATCATGAAGATTTACATCTATGCTTTCTTCTAATGGTTTTATCGATTTAGCCCCTACATTTAGGTCTTCCATCATTTTGAGTTAACATTTGTATATGTGTGAAGTAGGGGTTCAACTTCATTCTTTTGCAAGTGAATATCCAGTTCTTCCAGCCATTTGCTGAAAAGGCTGTTCTTTTCCCATTGAATTGTCTTGACACCTTCAGTTGAAAATCATTTAGCTGTAAATGTGAGCGTTTATTTCTGGACTCTGATTCTATTTCATTGATCTGTTTGTCTATCCTTATGCTCATATCACAGTGTCTTCATTACGGTAGCTTTGTAGTAAGTTTTGAAATCAGGAAGTGTGAGTCCTCCAACTTTGTTCTTTCTTTTCAAGATTGTTTTGGCTATTCAGGGTCCCTTGAATTTCCATATGAATATTAGGATTAGCTTGTCAATTTGTGCAAAGAAGATAGCTGGGGATTTTGATGGAGATTGAATTGAATCTATAGATGAATTTGGGGGGCACTGCGTCTTAATTTTAAGTTTTCCAATTCATGAACATGTGCTGTCTTTACATTATTTAGGTCTTTAATTTCCTTCTACAATGTTTTGTAGTTTTCAGTGAGCAAGTCTTACACTTGTTTTGTTAAGTTTATTCCTAAGTATTTTGTTCTCTTTAATGCTATTATCAATTGAGTTCTTTTCTTAATTTTCTTTTTGAATTGCTCATTTCTATTATAAAGAGATAAAATTGATGCTTTTGTATATTAATCGTGCATCCTGTAATCTTGCTGAACTTGTTTAATGGCTCTAATAGTTTTCTCTTTTTTTTTTTTTGACTCCTTAAGATTCTCTACATATAAGATCATGTCACCTGCAAATAGAGATGGTTTTACTTCTTTATTTCTGCTCCAGATGCCATTTATTTCTTTTTCTTTTCCTGACTAGAACAGTATAATGTTCTATAATAGAAGTGGCAAGAGCAGACATACTTGTCTTGTACATAATATTGGAAGGAAAGCATTTTTTCTTAGATGCCCTTTAGCAGGTTGAGGTAGTTCCCTTCTATTCCTAGCTCCTTTAGTGTTTTTTATCATGCAAGGTGTTGAATTTTGTCAAATGCTTTTTCTGTGTCTATTGAGACAATTATATTTTTTCCCCTTTATTCTTTAATGTGCTATGTGGCAATAATGGATTTTTTGGATGTTAAACCAACTTGGCACTACTGGGATAAATCCCACTTGGTCATGGTATATAATCCAGTTTATGTATTGCTACTATACTCACTTATGATCTCCCACACTCAAAGGGGACACACACACACAAACTCACATACAACTCTGTCTGCCCTGGCACCATGTAGGTGTCACAGTGACAGACCGTGGCCCTCATCTGATGACCTCTCCTCAGGACATCCTTCCCTCTGTCTCTCATGTATTTGGCTTTATTTTGATTCTACAATTTCTCCATTTTATCACAAACTCTTATTTTTCAGTGATGTCGATGACGGTATCTACTGGCTTGAGTAGGAAAAAACACTCCAGTTTCTCCTTTATTTCTCAAACAGAACACCTCTGACACTTCTGGTCACCAAATGAGTGGGGCTTTCTTCCACACCAAGCGATTCTCTGCAACATCAGCTGGGTGTCCTACAATCCACCTCAATTCTGACACTGTCTACCTGGAGTTAGCATCAGATCACATGTTAAGGGAATAGCCCCATGAGACTGCGTCCGCTTCACATGTCAATTGCAAGTCCCAGGTTGTTATCTGTATTTCTGACTAGCCAGCTATAAGTTAGGGTTCCCATGACCCCTTTCTTGGATTCGATAATTAGCTAGAACGGCTTACAGGATACAGGGAAACACGTTTACCAGTTTATTCGATACAGATGAACAGCCTGAAGAAGGACATAGAGTGAGGTTTGGAAGGGTCCCAAGTGCAGGAGCTTCTGTCTCCGTAGAGTCGGGGGTGTGTGTGTGCAAGCCCCTACATTGCAGTGGAAAGAGAATGCTTTTACAGAGAGGAAAAGGAAGCTGGGAGGGCTCTAGTAAGCAGAGTCCATGGCTTTTCATTGGCTGAGTCCTTGCCAGGAAAGGAGTCTTTCTTCTTCCTGTTGGTCTCTGCTATTGTTAATAGTGCATGAGAACACCCCCCTTCTGGCCTCCCGACTCTACCTGAGGTTTCTGTTTATTAATTCTTTACACTGTAAATCACCTCATACAAGCCCAAATCCTACAATAAACCCCTCCTACCTCCTACTTACTGAGACACTCCGTGGTTCCCCACAGTGTACGGTCTCCTTGGTTGCAACAAGTACCAATAAACTCAAATTCATTCAACTACAGTGATGTTCCTGGGTGTCTTTGGCTGGTGGGTATCAACAGGGGTAAAGCAACTTGCTAAGATCACTAAACTCAGGAGTGGCAAAGCCAGAGCTGGAACTGGAGGCTTTAAAATCAAGGCCAGGCTTCTAACAGTCACACCACCATGTGTCTTTGGGCACTTACTTTGGAGCTGGCCCTATTGTACTGTGAAGGATTAACGTGACTTAAAGAGGGGTCTGGCCCCTGGAATGGCCTGCCTGATGGGAGAGTCTTTGTTTGCCTGGGGGCTTTGGCCGCTGGACAGTCTGACAGTGTGATCTGTGATGAGGCCTCTGAAAGAGACTGTTATCAGTTCCAACCTCCAGAGGAACTGGGACTAAAGCTATTAGCCTGACCTCCCAGAGGGCTTGGAGACTAAAGGTCAGCCACGTGGGCAGTAGGTGATGGAGCCCCGGTAAACACTCTGGACATCAAAGGCTCAAGGCCCCCAGTTAGTAATACTCTGGGCGTACTGTCACTCACTGTGGCTGGGAAGAGGTGACTCCACGGAGAAGGGACAGCTGGAAGTTCCCATTTAGCCTCTCCCAGACTCTGCCCTGTTGTCTCCTTCTTTGGCTTGTTTCAATTTGTATCCTTTCACTGTAAAAAAACCAAACTAACACACTGTAATCCTAGGTGTAGAGCTTTCCTGAGTTCTGTGAGTCATCCTAGCAAATGATCAAACCTGAGGGCGGTCCTGGGGACCCCCGAATTTGTAGCCAGCTGGTCTAAAGTGAGGGTGGTCCTGGGGACCCCTGAACTTGCAGCTGGTGTCTGAAGTGAGGACAGTCTTGTAGGGGCTGTCCCCTGAGACTGCACAGTTGGGTAAGCCCCTCTAAAAGTGGGTCAGAATTCCTGGCAGTCTGGAGGACTGTGCCCTCAACCTTGCAGCTTGGCTGACTCAGTGCCTAGGCTCTGGAGACTGAGAAGGGGGCATAAGCGGAAAAAAAGACTTGTCCCATTTGGGGAACTTTCAATAAAGCCAGAGAGACCCAGAGCCAAGGAGTGCTTACGCAGCCCATGGCTGAAGCTCAAGTCCTTACCTGGTACGTGAGTGTGCATGTGAGTGTATTTGTCTGTTTCACCCCCCAACCACCAGCTACCTGCTGTTACCCCAGGCCTCTTGACTACCAGGACATCCCGTCAGCCCCACCCTTATCTGGGTGAGGACTGTGACTTGGACAGCTGTCAGGTCCCACCCACAGGCTCCGTGTAGATTGTGCAAGTCTCTTCCTGCAGCCTGTGGGCCGTCCTGGGCCAAGCCCAGAGATGGCTGGGGTCGGGGGTGGGCACGGACCAGAAGGCCCTGCAGGGGGTCTCATCCCTAGTCCTGGCACTGGGCTGGCACTCTGCTTTCTGGCCAGCACATGTGGTGGCGGTGGGAATGGTGAGCAAAGGGTGAATTGAGAAACATTTCTGTTTCCTGATCAAGTTGGATTTATTTCGACAACACAAGAAGGGTTTTAGAAAACTTATAAATTTTATGTAATAACATATAGATCAAATGAGAATAGTAATATAAAAGTGTAGCTTGAGGGACTTCCCTGGTGGCACAGTGGTTAAGAATCCACCTGCCAATGCAGGGGACACGGGTTCGAGCCCTGGTCCAGGAAGATCCTACATGCTGCAGAGCAACTAAGCCCATGCACCACAACT